GGACGGCCCGTGAGGCCTGCTCGCTCCTTCTAGGTGACACTGCTTGGTGGCTGTGCCTTAGCGGCAACCCGAACGAGATGCAGAACGACGCCGGGGAGTTTGTGGACCTCTACGTCCCTCGGAAATGGTGAGCGGCCCCCTCCAGCGGGGAGGGTGCAGAGGGGATGGCGGGTCTGCAGCGCCTGGACCCCGAGGAGATGGGTCTTTGGCAGTAAACCGGACCAGGGGCCGATGGAATCTGTGCAGCAGCAGGTTTTTTTGTACTAGCAGCTATCTGTGGGGAAAAAAAAAACCACTAGTTTTCTATCTCTATCTGTATTTTTGAAGATCTTATGTAAAACATGCAAAGCCAAGACTGAATCTGAAGAGGATGCTGTGCATCTGCTGTTGCATAACTGTCAGCGGCAGTGGCAGCTCTCATACGCTTCATTTCAGAAGTAAATGTGCGTGTTTGTAGCATGTCAGTGTTTCTGTGCTGCAGGCTCTTGTAGTGAACCTGTTAAGCAATCACCTGCTTTGGTTGCACATCTTAAGAACAATTCTGAGATTGTAGTAAATGACAGTGAGAAGCTTTTTGTAAATGTGTGTAAAAAAACCCAACCGCCCGCATCCCAAAAATAAAGAAAATAAACCATTTATATGCATTTTGTTAGGTGTAAGTCAAATGGTTTTTACAACCTGTGATTTCTGAGGGTTTGCAGCCCGAATGTGTTTTGGCAACTGCAATGACTCCCAATGAAAAAGGCATAGAAATCGCATTCTCATGAATTACCTGGATTGTTGCAAGTTTTTGCACTTTAGAAAAGAAAAATTTGATATCCTGTGCATTTTGAAGGCCTGTGCTACTGTATAGGGGTGAACTGGGTATATCTAAACCAAAGTGAAGGGCTAGTTGGCAATTCAGCATGACACTACCAAGTGAAAGTCCTTCCAATGTACTTAAAGCTGTAATTTAATTTTCTGAGTACTGAAAACTTAAACTATTACTGTCAAAGCTACTTGTACAGCTTTAATTTGCATGTAGATTTGGCTTTTATAGGGTTTTATTTCATTGTCACTGTTCATTTCCTTTTTTTTAAATCTTGTTTATTTTATTCCGTAGCTCTGCTAGCAACCGAATAATTGGTGCCAAGGATCATGCTTCTATTCAGATAAATATTTCTGAGGTAAGTTTCATGACAGAAATATGTGATGAGAGCGCTACACCTTTAAACTTTAGATAGAATTTAAGAAATACAGGAGCTTCTGATGTGTCTCCCAGTAATTCACTAGAGACCATGTAAGTGTAGAGCTCAAGGGCTTTCAAACACAGAATTATGTTAGTAGGTCAACCCTGGTTATTTTTCAGCCTATTGGAAAATACTCATTAGAGGGCATTTCATAAAGCTCTCTACAGTCTGTTCTGGTACTTAACTGTTCAACTAAATACAACTTTCTAACTCCAGATGTTTAGAGTTATAAATTAGGGATTTCCTAGTCCTAAAAGAAAGAAGAAATGCTTGTTTCTGGGAGATTCTTATCTCTTCTACCTTTACCTGTCTGTGAGAAAGTACCAGTCTTCAGTCTGTCCTTGTGCATCCTGGCTTTTTTTTTTTTTAAATTCTTGTTGAGTTTCTCTGTGCTTTTTCTAGTTTGTCCAAATTTTAAGAAAGATATGGTTTCCAGAGCAGAACTCTATTTCTGTTCTGCTTCACTTAACTGAAGTGCCATCTCCCATATTCTGCTTGAATCGCTTCCGTTAATACTTGACACGGCTGCTTTTGGCTGCTTTTGATCGGTGAAAGATGAGATTGCTCGTGTGCTTTGTGAGCAGCGTTATCATTTCATTAACTCAGTGCTTGGGGGGATTACATGCTTGGAACCACAGTAGACCCTGAGTCCTCTAGTATCCAAGTTAATGCACGTGGGCTGCAGTTAATTTAAACTCCTTTTAGCGTGCTTTTTTTTCCCCATTTGTTTATTGGTATTCATCTTGCTGGAATTCTGAGGACAGTGTTCCTATAACTTATGACCTATATAGCTTGATTTATTTCTTCTTGAATGGGAGACCACAGAACTACATCTCCATATCTTTAAACAACTGAGTCTCCTGTGTTATCTGTTTGACTAAAGAAATCATTTAAAATAAACTGTTTGTGATTTTCTGTAAATGTTAAGGCAAATACTTTTCTTGTTCACCATGTCTCATTCCTTCAATGATCCCTGTTTCTTACTTTCAAAGGATCGGAGATTAACAGAACTTGAAAACAAACCCACATAGTATTACAGTGTTCACAACACTGTTTAGTTTAATGATTTATATTGTTTAGTCTTTTTTCCTGTTAAATTTCTCAGCAACTGGAGGAAGTAAGACAATTTGTGTCTCTCAACTTGGGCATTTTTCTCCCTGTGTAGCAAGACTGTTCCCTTCCCTCCTTTTCAATTTCCATAATACTGACCTTAATTTAAAGAAAC